CTTTACACGCAAGGTTACATTTCTTACCCACGTACTGAGACTACTTCGTACGCAAAAAACTTTGATTTTAATGAAGTTCTAAGGGCTCATTCGAATCATGATATATGGTATGATGTTTGTGATGTATATTATGTGGAGGAAGGAATAACTAACTTATTTACGACGACGGTGTAGGGGGCCATATTCTAAAGAACTATTAGATAATGGAATCGAGCGTCCTACGGGAGGGGTTGATGTCGGTAAGTACTGAGCAAAAAATAATTTTCAAATGAATTTTCCAAGTATTCTGTTAACACTACACGTATACTTTTGCTTAATCCATTTTCAGGCGATCACCCGCCCATGTATGTACCTAGATCATTTGATTTCTAAAGTTTTCAACTTTAATTAAGCATAGAATATGATTTTTAGAACACCTACGCGATCAGCGCGGGAAGGCGAATTGTCTGGAGATTCATGGAGAATTTACAACTATATAACTCGGCATTTTTTAGGATCGATAAGTCCCAATTTAAGATACCAGAAAACCAGTTACACGATCAAAGTCGGCAATGAATATTTCGAATGTTCGGGTATGATATTTTCCGAAGTTTTAAAAAAAATTTTTTAAGGATTTACTTTTAAATTCAATGTGAATAGGATCGAAAGTGATTCAACCTGGATTTTCGTCAATCATGCATTGGTATATCTTACGCATTTCTTCTAAGACATACGTTTCCAAGCCATTTTTGAGTCGACATATTTTTATCAATTATTTAGGCGCACGATGTCAGATCAAAATATTCCAGAGTACCGTCAAGGTGACATCTTGAAAGTTGTTAGTGTTAATACGACTGAAGGAAAGACCAGTCCACCAGATTACCTAACGGAAAGTGAAGTCATCAGTCTGGTATTACTATTTAACCGGTTGTTTGTTGTAGGGAATGATTGGTGTAAATTGTAATTCCTAAAATTATTTATGATAGATGGAGAAGCATGGCATAGGTACTGACGCCTCTATACCCGTTCACATTAACAATATATGTCAGAGAAATTATGTTTCGGTAGGGATATCTCTGACCTTTGTGATCAATATGTTTGATTGTCTATTGATCGATCGTATTATTGTACAGGTTCAATCTTCGGCGCGAAAATTGGTTCCAACAAATTTAGGTAAATATTTATTTATGCTATGTATACAAAATGTGTATTGACGAATATCTCGTAAAATGACATCTTGTCTCCTTTTATTGCAGGGATTGTTTTAATTCATGGGTAAAATTACATGTATTTTACTTTTTTTTGTATTGCTCTTTAATACGTAATGAGATTGGTTCATTCACTGATACTTGATTTTATTTTTTTGCCATTGCTTGATCTTATAACAGATATCGTATCCTTCGTGTTTGTCAAGTGGTAAGACACTTGGTTTTCTGTATTTTCGCCTTAATTACAGATTTATCGTGTAGAAAAAATCGATCCTGACCTGTCGCTGCCTACAATGCGAAGTGATGTTGAGAAACAGCTGAATTATATTGCAACGGGAAAAGCCGCATATACTGAAGTTTTAGATCATTCCTTGCGGTTATTCCGAGAAAAATTTAAATACTTTAGGGAGAAGGTTTTGTTCTTTCTTTTTTATTAAGGTGTTTCATTTTAAAACGGCAGTAAATCCGGAGCTTATGATAAAAATTCTAGATCGATCAGATGGATGAATTATTCGAAGCTACATTTTCCCCTCTCGCTTCAACTGGTAAAATTTTGTCAAGATGCGGGAAATGCAAACGGTATTATAAATGAACGTACCTTTTTTTTCTTTCGTGTACTCAATATTCTCTCTTGATTTTTGCATGAAGCTATATGAAATATATTTCGATGCGGTAAGTCGATTCCAATATTTCGTGAATATCAAACACATCAAATAATATACTCCATCTGATTCTGAATTTTAAAAGACCGCAACGTCTACACTGTCCACATTGTGATGAAACATATTCTTTGCCGCAAAATGGGACTATCAAGGTATTTGTAAACTTTTATTATTCCCTTTGCATTCTCTAACTTTATTGATCTTTTTTTTTAAAAAAATTAAAGTTGTATAAGGAACTCCAATGTGTAAGTGCGATTCAAGCAGATCGAGAATTCGCAAACTATTCTAGATATAATAATCGAATATTTCTTTTTGATTATAGCCGCTTGATGACTTTCAACTGGTGTCATTTTCTACTGGATCGAAGGGTACCGGTTATCCCATATGTCCTTATTGTTATAACAACCCTCCTTTCGAAAACATCAAAAAAGGTGAATTTTCATTTTAGTTTAGGGATCG